CCCCCAATTCCCCAGCGCTGTTCCCATCCCCCAATTCCCCAATTAAAAAAAAAAAGTGTTTTACACTATTGCAATTGGTCTATATCTTTGTTTAGCTCTGTTCGCTCAATATTATTTCAAATAATAATTCCATATACTTAAATTCTACTAGCTATATATCACATGCATGCCCATATCCATCAAATACAGAATCCTTGTCCCATTCACTATTGCTAAATATTTAGGTTACTACTTCATTTTCACTATGATAAGTAATAGTATTGCCATAACAAGCTATAAACATATTCCTTTGGTTAATAATACCATTATTGAGATTACCAAATCAAATTATTGGACCAAACACAATGAACAATTATTTATGATCCCTGCACACCAGCTTGCTCTCTAGAAGGACTGGCCAATTTACAAAGCCAGGAGAAAAGTGTTGGTGCAGTGCTCAGTCACTAACCCTGCCAGTACTTAAAAAAGAATCACTTGGTTAGTTTTGCTCATTTAGTAGATACAGTAGAACCTCATAGTTTGAATTTCTTTATTAAAGAATTTAATTTTTCCATGGTTTCCTACCTGTATTTATGTGTAAAATATTTGTTTTATCCTTTGTCTTATATATTAAGGAAGTGTTGTTTTTGGAAAACGTGAGAAAAGTGTTTAAAGATTAATGCTCAATTTCAGTTGGCTAATTTTTTAGTTACCTGCACTCTACATAGATACTATCATAAGACCCCAAAAAATTATAAGATAAAAATAATTATAATTTCTAAGAAATTGGAGACGGTGCCAAGTAATACTACTATCTGAATAGACACCACTACCATAAAGAAATTTAACTTAGGGCCGGCCAAGTGGCGCGTTGGTTAAGATCTGGCTTGGGACGCCAGAGGGCCCCGGTTCGGATCCCACATATGAGGGCTAGTGACACTGCCCTCTACAGCTAAGATGGTGAACAACAGCTCAACCTGGAGCTGGTCTGCTGTGAGTCACTGGCCAAGGTGTAGTTTTGCAGTGGGTTGCCATGGGCTACCGTGTGTAGCCAGCAGCTGCAGTGAGCAGCCATCCAAAAGCCAGCGACTGATCTGCCTCACCCGGGAAGAGTGCAATGATGGTGCCAACTTGGGCCAGTGAAGCAAAGTCCTCCACAACTAGACTGAAGAA